GTGTGTGTGTGTGTGTGTGTGTAAGGCACTATTTTGTTATGTAAAAGTATTATAAAGGCTAATATTTGCATGTCTAGTGAAAAAATAAAAATAAAACAGGGTTCTTTCACATTATCACTACTTGAATTATTTTGTACTAATTTTTATGGACTTGTGTATAATTTTGATGTATATTTTTATTTGTAAATACCTGTAAAAGTAACCTAAGTGTATTCTGTGTATATATTGATATTACTTTACCTATCTAAATAACATAATTATAATATGAATGTTAATTATAAGTCATTTTATAACATGTCTCAGCTTTACAACAAAAAAGTCAGTTTAAAAATCTGATGAAAATTGACCAAGTTATGGTTATTTAAACAGTAAAAACACATTCATGGTGAGTGGGGCCTGTACCAAGATGGCCGCCTAATGTACAGTGATGTTAGCGTTAGCTCTTAGCTTCTAGCTGATCACCTGGTTCAGCTCACTCTGGTAGYTTTATTTCCCACCATGAGTCCAACATGTGTGCCAACAGGTCCAGTTTGACTTTATTTATTTTATTAAACAGGATCAAAGATAAAACATTTCTCTGGTTCTGACCCGGTCCAACATGTTTCAACTCTGAACAGTTTTTGTTGTTATTAGATCTGTTGAGCTTTTATCAAACATTTGAAGAGAGTTTGGGTCAGTTTTTGGTTCTGGACCTGGTTTAGTCCTGGAGACACCCTGCATCCTGAAGGGCAGACCGTGCAGTGCTCCAGCTGGGCTTGTTCTGCAGACTCTGGACCCCAAAGGGATCCCAGAACCAGAGTCTGGGTCAGAACCAGGACTCCAAGTTCAGGTTTCACMCCTGGAACAGAGTTCTGGTCTCAGTGGGTCTGATGTGAGCCACTCAGACCTGAACTGGGTCCAACAGAACCCTGATCCTAAACAGCAGTTGATCCACAACAGAACGGGTCAAAAAGAGAGGAGCAGGAACCAGAACCAGAACCAGAACCAGATCCTGACTGAAACTCTGGGACGTTCAAAGATCTGATCAGAACCTGAAAGATCCAAACCACGTGGTCCAAAACTCCTCCAGAACCATTTCAGAACCTGATCAAACCGGGTCAGATTATGTTCTGATGAACCCTGAAGGTTCGGTGTCAGTTCGGTTCTGATGGTTYCATGTAAACCGGAAGTGAGAAGCACCTGCGGTTCTGTTGGACCCGGATGCTCAGCAGGGCTAATAAATAATGGATCGATGCAACGAACCGGAACTTTTCTCCTACGGTACCACCGAACCGAACCCCCCCTCCTTACCGGGGCCCTGCTCGGTTGGCGTCCCCCCCGAGTCCCGGCAACGCAGAACCAGCAGGAAGCGGACCGTCTCGCCCAGGTAGAGGTGGCTCCGGCGGGGCAGGCTGCGGTACCGGGCCGGGTCCGACAGGTCCGTGATCGGTACCGCGGGGAAGTACATGAAATACTCGCACTGCGACTCCATCATCTGCACCATGGCGACGACCGGAGGAGGCTGGGAGCGGGCGGTACCAGGACCAGAGTCAACGGAGCCCAACGACGACAAGCTAACTTCCTGCTTTCACTTTCARAATAAAAGTCACGTCAGCGTCACGCAGAGCCGCTTCCGGCGCGGCGCCCCCTGCGGCCATGACGGGTCACCGGCGGGAAGAAGAGAGATGTTTTTATTAAAACAACTCCTGTTTCAGCTGAAAACTGGAGCAAACACCTCACTGCAGGGCAGGTAAACATGCAGGTAAACTGATTCTGTCTCTTTAACCCTCTGTTTGTAATTATAACTCAGTATTTTTAACTTATTCTGAGTTAACCCCGCTAAGTGTTAGCTCTGTGTGTTAGCATCGCTACATTTCTGTTGTTTTACAGACAAAAATCACTGATAAATACAGAAAATATTCTTTTTAAAATCAGGATGAAAATGTTCCTCAGTCATACAGAGGCTCAATAATCATAATAAATTAAATTAACAGCAAGAAACAAAACATTTATTACCAAAAACAATAAGGTTAGCTTAAAAGGTTAGCTTAACCAGTTTGATTTGGTTCAAGCTGCGGTGCTGAGAGGTTTTCAGTTTCAWCGTCTTTTAGAACAAAATAAAAATGAATTCAGTCCTAACAATGTTTCAGAAACGTTCAAATTTAAAGGAAATCATTAAATAATGCAGAATTAATATAAACAAACTGTGCAGAAAATTATAATTTGTTGTTTTAGCAGTAAAGCTGATTTGATGGTAGCTTTCTGATTCTATCCAACTTAAACACCTAAATAATAAAATAAAAATAATAAAATAAATACCTGAATATGGAGTTAAAATGTTGGCAAACTAAACCAGTATTACCAAAAGGTAAAGATTAAAAATAAGTTTTAAAAATAAGAGAACAGTGTTACTTTTATTGCACTATAATCACTTAAAGTACACAATAAAACTGGACTTTTTACATTTTCTGCATCATGATTTAATGTTCCTCAGTCCTGCTCACAGCACATGTATCTGTTGATTTTTATTTTAGGAACAAAACGCTGCTGAGCGGTCTCTTTAAGGGTCTGAAACTGGTTCTACATGGTTTACCTGTCTGTGGTTTGGACCAATCAGGAGCCACCCTGAGCCCGCAGATACACCTGTTTCAGGTAAGTTAATTTTCTCCCTGTTTTCTTGTAAAACGATCCCATTTCAGTCYGTCCCATTGATTAGAAACAAAAGCACAGGAACTCAACGCAGTTAGCTGAAACAGCAGAGTAGATCCATGTAAACAAATGGGACATGTCTCTAATCAGAGAAAATAAAAAATTACACCTAAAATAATTTTGAGTTCAGTCACATTTAAATCTGTAACAAGTAACTAAGTGGTGTCATTTTTAGGTTTTGAATGTAACAAAATAAAAGTTACGATTAAAAAAATATTTGTTTAAATTACAAATCCTCAAAACAATTAAGTACTGAAACAAAGTACCGTATTTTTCGGACTATAAGCTGCGACTTTTTTCCTGAACTTTGAACCATGCGGCTTATAGTCCGGTGCGACTTATACG